GTTCTCCGCCGTGGTGCAGAGAGGGGGGAGTCACGCTCGCTAAACAGGGGACCTTAAGGCCTTGGGTACCGAGGGGAGTCGGGGCTGGAAGAGGGAGCGCGTGAAACGTTTTTTCCGTGGACGGTGATGTCTTGCTCAGAGCGGGGAGAGGACCTGTTGTGTGGATTACGAGTCCCGTAGGTTCTTAGTGCAGTGTCGCTTCCGTGGGGGTCGTGTCGGCCCTTCTTCCCCTAAGGTGGTGGTACCTGTTGTCCATGTCAGCCTCTGCCTGCTTTTTTCCTCCCAGTTAAGTGATTGTCAAGCAGTGGAGGAGGGGAGAAGGCAAAAGGCGTTCATAGGGCAGGCGGGGGCAGGCCTTGGGAACCATTACGATAAAGTATCTATGGTGTTATCTTTTGCACGTGATTTTTCTATCTTCTGTGGATTGGGAATACCGTTCTGTTTAGAGCTATTATGGTTACTAGTAGAAGTTTTCAGGCCATTTTCTTGTAGCTGGTATGCTGATATCTCCATGTCAGCCTTGAAAACAGTTCTGGGTAGCCTAGTCACGCTACAGATGTCAAATGAAGCTTCAAACATAGTTAGTTTAAGCCTCAGCATTGAGGGTTCAAATACCTTGTCTTCCAGAAGTACATGGATTATGTTATTGTTTTATCATTAACTGCTTTCTGTTTCTTCTTTGGTGTCTCAGCTCCTCTCTGTGTGTTTGGTACAGAACATCAAATGGTGGAGTTCATTATAAATTTGGGATGTTACTGATCATGCCAACATTAATGGTTTGTCTTGAATTTGCATGCTAGGGATTGGTCTCTTCCTGTAGTTGCTATTGCAGTTAGGCATGCTGGATGCACACGATGAAAGATGTCTAATACAATTTAAAAAAAACCCACTGATAACAGGCTAATGTTTTAGGTTCTTGTAACTAAAGAAAGCTACTGCAGAATGTATCAATACAGAGTTCCACAAACTTCTTGCAGAGCTTAAGACCCAAGTACATTGCATGGGTTAGATGAGTGGAATCTCATGTGACTGCAGTGCAGCAGGCAGCTGGAATTAAATGTAACAGACTTGACTGAATTCACTCAATTTTATTTCTGTGGTTTTTTTTTTAGTATGTAAAATAATATGATGTGCCAGTAAAGTCAATAGAAATTGTCATTAAGTAGCTGGATTTCATTCTTTAAAATCATTTGTTTTGAAGAACGCCGTTGTAAGTGCTCTGGCTGGTGGGAATGTATTCCACAGTGTTTAATTGTAGTGTTACTTTTCATTCTGAGATTTTCTTACAAAACCGTATTTGAGGATTGAGTCTAGATTTGAGAAAATTATCTGTCATATTTAATATAATCATAAAGTGGTTTTAAGCAAGTAAATTTTTTTAAGGTGACATAGTGTTCATAAGGTTCAAAAAATTATTGTGTTTTCCAGAACATATGATGTCTGTGAAGTGCGTCCAGGACCCAATCTGAATATGATTGTAGGTGCTAATGGCACAGGAAAATCAAGCATTGTCTGTGCAATCTGCCTGGGACTGGCTGGAAAACCTTCTTTCATAGGGCGAGCTGATAAGGTAACTATGAACTTCTGTAATTTTCATATTTAATCTGAATTTCATTAAGACCTCTGTCCGGCAGAGGAGTGGGGAAAAAGACTGTCTTCCTTGGTGTGCTTTATTTTTATGAAAAGTAAGGTGTCCAAATTGTAGAATAACACGGTCCAGAGACAAAGGCTTTTACCAAAGGGGTTTTGTCTTACTTAACTACTTGTTGTCTGGGCTGAATTATGAAGTGGAAACACCTGAATTGTACTGGAACCTGAGTAGACTAGAGGTTATATTTGAAGATATCTAAGCCTCCACAGTGGGGTAGGAAAATACCACCTAATGCATAAATAACAGTTGATCAGAAATACCAACAGAAGGAGAAATAAAAAAAAAAGTCAAATTTCCAAGTATATAGAACCTGTAGAAATAACATCCTTAATGTGTCTGAGAATTTATCTAAAAGACACTGATCTTTGATTTAAATGGAAGTTGGTTTGGTTTGTGTTGTTTCACTATTATTTTCATTTTTTGCTTCTGAGAGATCATATGTTGACATTATAGTAGAAAGTTTGTATTGTCAAATTTTCAAGTTTTGTGCTTGCTTTCTTGGATAGTCTGTTGGATGGAATATATTTCAGTAGATCTTTGGAGCACTGAATCTGGGTACCTAAATGATTGTACATATTCTCTGGTTGCAGCTCAGTCTTGAGCAATGTAAATAGGGAAATTGACTGCATGGCAGCACTGTGTGTTGATATTTTTATTAGCTTTTCAATTTATATATTTTTATACTATTAGAATTGGCAGTTCTGTGGGTACGTATATTTGGCAATGTCTTTCATTTGCATTTCCTTTGTTCCCCGAATTCATGAGAACTTCCTCTCTTTGGACCTGATGATTATAATTTGTTCAGTTCTGGAGGCTGAAATTCATCAGAAATTGTTAACCTGTGGAGGAAGTTCTAATGCTGCTAGTTGATGAGGAAGATAATAGTGTCTTCCTTTATTTTCAGGTAATACACAGCCAAAATAAATTTTAGTTTTTAATTGTAAGTTTTCAGTAAAATATCCCATTACAGCAACTCTATTATACAAATACATATTTTTGTAAGAGATTACATTTTAATACACTGTTATTTTGTTATTTTGCAATAATAACTTCTATAATTAATTTTGTAGGTTGGTCTCTTTGTAAAGCAGGGGTGCTTGAAAGGTGTAGTAGAAATTGAACTGTAAGTAGTAAAATTGCATTTCCTCATGCATTTTTAATTAGATTATTTCCCCACACAATCATTCACAAAGTTGTGAAAAAAAAAATCTGGTGTACAGAGTCTTTAAGCTGGTGATTTACTTTTTCCTTTTTTTTTTTTTTTTTTATCCAGACTTCAAAATTTTAAGGTTAAATAATTACCATGCAAGAAATAAGCAGCGATGGCTGGTCTTGATTTGGCTTTCTGAAGCATTTTAGCTGGTCTTGAAGTACAAAGAATATATAGATAAAAATTGATGCATATGGTGTGTTTAGCTTTTGTTTACATTTAAGGTTCAGATGATTCAGACACAGTACTGCCATCATGACCTACTGGTTGGAAATTACTTTTAAAGAAGAAAGAAAAAAAAAAAAAAAGGACAAAGTCTAAATTTTAAAACCAAATATTCTGCTTTCACTTTCTTATACTGATACTGCTGGTATGAGGGGTTCCTCTATATTCTTACTGAAAACATCACATACTGAAACAAAAGGGGAAAAAAAAGGTAGATCTGACTAATTCTGGCTAATGCAGTCTTCTAGGTAAGCTTTTGCAAAATAGAGTAACTGAAAATCATTTGGACTTACTCTGTAAAATTCCTCACTAACTTGTGATTACAGGGAAATATTCCCATAAGTTGTTTTTTTGTTTGGTTTTTTTTTTTCCCCCTACTAAAGAGAGACTATCCTAATAGAGTTTCCAAATGGGTGCTTCTTTGTGGAGATCTTAACATGAAGGTGCAATAGCAGAGGTGGTTTTGATAAGCTTTAACCTGATCTGTTTGCCTGAACTAAATAGAACATAAAGCCAATCAGCTGATTCAGAGCCTGAGTTAATTAGTGTAACAATTGGCCACCCTGGTCACATTGTATAAAAAAAAAGTTGTGTTAAGGAAAAAAGATATACTGGACCAGGTCTTTGAAAAAATCCTATCCACTTTTGTTCTTGTGCGAGTGATCAAGTAAGACATTCTTTGGAGACTGGCCAGGCAGTGGATCAGGAGGTAGGGTGTCTTTCAGGTAGACGGTGTGATTGTTTCAGCAGATACATCCTGATGTGACTTGAAAGTCTGAAGAGCGACTTGCAGTATATGAAGACTTAGCATTTTTACTGTAGTGGTTGCAATGTAATTCAGTCCTTTGTCTAATTGGTAGAAAATATTTAAATGCAACATCTAGGGTGAGAGAGCAATGATGCGGAAGATTGCTCTTTGATAGGAATTTAAAAATTTGAGTTGTATAAGCACACCCTGTCTTGGTTGAGTTTGGCCCTTGGATTGCAACTAAAATCAAGAGTTGCAGGAGTAAAAAGTCCTTAATTTGATAAAAGAAAGGAGCATGGCTTTGTAGGGCTTTTGAAGGAAGCCTGGTATAGTAAAATAAGGTAGTGGATACTTGTGAGGAAATGATCATACAGTTTTCAAGAAGTAGGCTCATATTCCTATGGCACTTATTCCAAACACTGGAAGCTGTTGAATTACTCACTTCTACTTTGACCTCTATTCTTAAGTCTCCTAAGGTATGTGGCTTCCAAACTCTTACGAGCCCTTATCCTCCATCTTTAACAATATGCTGACTGAACAGGCACTAGACAATTTCTAAATCGAAATGCTCACCAAAATTTCAAGCGTTTATGACTATCTCACTCCTTGCTTGTTATTGTTGCATCTTAACCTGACTAAATTTTTGAAGATAAGCATTGAGCTAGAGAACTAAGTGGACAACTGATGCATCTATGCTGTTCTTCAAAAGCAGAAAATGAAAACAAACTAGTATTTTTCATACTGTATGATACTATTTTCATTCCTAGATGGAATGTATATACACAGCTCATTGATGTAGTTCTGTACACTAGTTTTTTTTACTTTAAAGGCATAGCATTAGGATGCGCCTCCTGCATTCCAATTTTAAAACTTAATAAATGTCATATAAAAGATATACTTTTATGTAAACTGTTCACATCTGTAATAACTTTTAAATGGTTCATACGTTCAGTATGACTATGTCATTTATATAAATAACTTCCTCTGAGTTAAAATTTGCAGATGTTCTTGATGTTTTTCATGTGAGATTAATTCATCACTGAAGTACTGGACATTTTTCTGAAGCATAAAATGTGAATTTGCTGCTACTGTCCAGTTAATTTATATTAAATTTTTAGATATCTAAAAGCTTGAATACCATAATTCTAACATACGTTGACACTTGGTAACCTTTGCATATTCTCAAAAGTATAAACACTTCTTATTAATCAGGTCTAAGACACCTGACAATGTCATTATCACTCGTGAGATTCAAGTGGTGAACAACACATCAGCATGGTTTATCAACAGAAAGCCAACAACCCTAAAGACAGTAGAAGAGCAGATTGCAGCCTTGAACATCCAGGTGGACAATTTGTGCCAGTTTCTTCCTCAGGTATGAATGAATTTTGAAAGACAGTGGGTGCAAAGGGATTTGCTGTCATTTCAGAGGGGTTTGTTGCTTCTTAGCTTTTGTAGCACTTTAGTGATTTAATGGAACAGCACAAAGAATGAGAGGGATGAGGTGGCCATACTGGTGTGATGGTGAAAGAAGGGAGGAACTGTGTGACCTTTAAGGCTCACTAACTGGGTGGTTTTGTTCCTGCTGTCAGTTGACACTGAAAGAAAAGCTGCTGATGTTCCCCATGGTGGTGGTTGAGTAGCAGCACTAGCAGTGGTATCTCTCTGTCCTGTCTGTGCTGCTGTAGGGATGTTGTT